TATATATATATATATATATATACTGCAGCCAGGAGGGAAAAAATGAGGAGAACATAAATGCATACAGAAGAAAACACAGAGGCTGAAGAGAGAAAAAAACAAATATTTAGTTGCTGAAATTTAAATTATATATGTTAGGTTTTAATTATGTAATTGTCTATTCTGTAAACAAAATGAACTTAATTGTAAACGTTGTAAAAAATTAAGGAGTAATGTGCAATTGTATGAAAATAGGCTTATTAGGTCTAGGGTTCGAGTATGGCAAAAGAAGAAAAATACAGCGTGGATTTTCGCTTGACTGTCGCCCTGGATTGGCTCGAGCATCAAAAACAGAACCTCCAATGCTTGACTCTCGTCCTGCCTTAGCTCGAGCGACAGTCTATCGCTCGACTATCGCCGAGCTCTCGCTTGAACGACAGGGTTGTTCGGGAAATTTTTATTTCGCACTTTAAAGGTTTTTTCCCCGGTCCATTACTTTTCTAATCTACCTATAAATACTAAAACACATTTGAACGTAAAAATTAAGGTTGATCATTGAGAGAGCTTCATCAGAGAGAATTCCTACATATTCCTACTTTCAACCTTCATTTTGTGAGTTTGTTTTGGTGAGGAAAATATCAATTTCGTAATCCAAATACCAAATTGTTCTTTCCACCACATCTGTCAGAGTTGCTAAAGATCGAGGGAAGTTGACTGGAGTTCCAGTCGTTGAAGAACGCGGTGTTCTTCGTGGATCCACATGAGATAAACGATTTCACAAAGTTAGGAGTTGCTGCAGGAGAGCACAATTCAGGAAAGCTTTGGAAACTGCAGTTGTGAGTGGTGCACGAGCACAGAATCCAGGAGAGTTGTTGGAATTGCAGTCAGGAGATCAGACAATACGTGTTGTCGTTTAGGCTGGTAGATTGTAAGTTACAAATCGTTTATAGTGAAATGTTTATACCCTGTTGGGGTTTCTCCGTGATCATACCGTGTGTTCTTACTGCTTTCATTATTGATTATATTAATTGTGGTATTTAAAAATATGTTAAATTGACTTGTATGTTTAATCATCTAGAGATAATTAATTAGTGACATGTTGCTAGTTAATTAATATTTTAATTTCGTATAATATACCTACTCACCACCCTCTAGGTATTGTTAAGGCCGAATTATGTAACTTTCAATATATACAAAGAATTGGCGGCTGCAAAGCAAAGCACGAAGGATAAAAACAAACGCAACAGGAAGGAAGAAACAAACTCAGCTGGGAAGAAAAATATACGGCAAACAGAGAGAAATAGAGGCTGAAAAAGGGAGGCATGAATTAGATTTTTTTATTTAAATTGGCTGAAGCAATTACTAAAGGAAATGGAAAAGTTGACTCGCTGCTGTAATTATACATACACACACGAAACCAAGGCAGACAAGAAAACGAAAAAGACGGCAACTTCAATTGGAAAATCAATCACATTTCGTCAATTTTCGGTGTTGTCGTTCCTCTTTTATTTGTTTAATTTCAATATTATGCTAGGCTAAATTTTTACATTGCTAAGATATAGATGAATCCTTGTTTTGAAATTTTTAATATTTATTAATTATTTTAACGTTAATTTGTTTGAATGTTTATTATAGTTTAGTATGCTTTTCAATTAATTGGCCATTAGTTGAATTGTTTGTGGATTTTATTGTTATCGGGAGAGATAATAGAATCATTAACATGTAGTAATAAATATTGTGAGGTTTGATAGATGATAGAGATATACCTCTATACTTCACATGGTTTTTAGATGTTATAGCTCGTTTAAAGTTTTCTTATATGTTAATATCTTTTATAGATCAAATACAGAAAAGTCACATATATGATTAAATTTAATTGTTATCGAGAGAAACTTTTAAATAAATTTAAATTTCAATCAACTTGCATGTAAGAACGAGTCAATTTAATTGTTGTACTAAAACATGGATTAACAAGAGGTATTCAACATCTTAGCAATATGTATCTCAGAAATTTGATAAAATTTTACTTTGATTTCTAGTACGTGATAAGTTAGACCTAGATTTATTACAAGTTATTATTGCTATTTGATTAAATGTATTATTAACTTTAACTCGATAAAACACGTAGTCCTCGTGGGTTCGACATGCACCCTGTACACTACTATATTACTTGATCACGATCCCGTTCACTTGCGGTTTTCAAACGGTCAAGTTTGCGGGTTTTCAAACGGTCACTAAATACAAAAAAATCTTAGATCACGAGTTGGAAACAGTAAGATTTTGTGAGACAATGCAAACAACTAAATATTTTGTGAGTTCCACAATCATAAGAGGTCTAACAAGAAAACACCGTAAATGACTTGAAGAAGCTGTGTTATATGTCCACCCTCTCCCAGACCATGATTGGCCCTTAGAATGAAGTCTATGATGGGAGAAAACAAAACTGTTCGAATAAATATTAAAGTGGAACAAAATAGGAGATGGACAAATTCAACAATAACCAAAATAAATAGTGCAAAAGTAGACAATATATTTATTTTCTTCGACAAATATGCCTACATCCACTAACAAAACAACAAATGAGTCTCATCAAATCATCAATAATTATTGGCATGACACTAATAAATCATTCAATATAATAATGAAATCCCCCAAAAGCATCATTAATAATATACCCAAGAACAACTATCAACAAAATTCTTGAAATCCTACTCAAAACAAACGAGATAAAGAAAACATCTTGCCAAAATTTGCCATTATTCAGATAGCGATTGCTCAAATATTAAATGTTGGGATCTTGATCAACTGTTTGATTAAAGAAAAATAGTTAATTTCACGATGATAATACCATGGAGCTTAGATATCAATGGTTGTTCGAGAGATTGCACTGGATGCCATGCTTGCACAATTTCTGCACAGTTTATCTCGACATTCTTTGTTATAGTGGCTGATTTTGTATTTTGCACGTCACTCGCACATCTATTCCAGTCTTCTATAATTTATTCACTCTTCTCTATTAGCACCATCACTAGGAGTTTTGTTTATTTTATTATATTTAAAGAGTTCAGTTATTATACATGTTTTTTCACGGAGCACTTGCCTCTTACTGGCAAACAGATTAATTTATTTTTTGTTATTACAATCTGAAAGGTCTGTTCTCATTGAACTATGTATGGCAATAGTTCATTTCTTATATATTACTATGATCTTCACTCTGTCTCGTACAAATGTTATTTGAGGAGCCTGATGACTCCAAAGTTTCAGAAGAATCAGAATTAAAAATTGCAATAAGCTACCCCCTTTTAATTTCTAGAGGCTGAATGTACTGGCTAAATATCCGTACTAATTTTCATTCTTGGCAGTACCGAGGCGGACAAGCTCCATGACAAATCTTGTTTTGACACCTTTATTAGGGTGAAGGCCAGAGGCTTCCAAAGCATCCTGGTCAATTTCAAACTGTTCTGTTTCTGTTGAATGGGAGCGTATGAAAAGGTACGGGTACACAGAGGTCAATACTACCTTGTGTTCAAATTCAGAAGTGCTCAGTGAGCCTTCTATCCTGTCAATTAGAATCTTCTGCAACGTTGGGGGTCTCAGAAGGATCACAACAATCTCCCAAACCAGGAAGACTCTGCTGAAGAATGGTGCCTATGTGTACATGAACTAATAGTGCTATTGTAGATTTAAATTTTCTATAGAAGGTAGTCAAATAGGTCTGCAGTGGAAGTAAAGCGAAGTCCTTTATTTTTCTTTTCTTCATTTTCTTCACCCTGTAAGTGGTCTATGAAAATTGACCCTCTTTTCCAACAATATCAGCAATTTTTGGTCTTACTAGGTAGAATGTGTTGCAGAGTTCGGCAAAGTTGTTCTATAAAGGAGTCCCAGAAAGAATGACACATTTTTCTGTCTTGTGTTTCAGGAGAGTTTTCCAAATGCTATACTTCGGTCGTGCGAGAAGTGTGTCCTTCGTCAAGAATAACCAGCCCAAGGTATTCGAGAAGTGTCTTCTTCAGAGTGTCAGACTCCTCATCAAACATGATTAATCTCTCTCTTCTTCCTCCCTTTCCCCTTCACAAGTTCTTCTCCATCCAGCTTTTCACAAAGTGTATAGCTTATTCCAAGAACGCTAAGCCTTTTATCCAATGAATATACCTATACACAATGAACTACATCCTTGTCGTGGCATTTTCTCTTGGAGAGATGTTTGGGAACCAACTTGTTTTCCTTCCATGAAAATGTGAGGCTGCCTAGGTTACGAAATAGGAACTTCCCATATCCTGAACTCTTCTTTCCAAGTGAGGAGCATATTGGCTGGAGCAATACCATAGGTTGGCAGTTTGGAAATAAGTTTCCAAGAAAAAAATAGCCAAATGGGGATTTCCAGTCCCTGGAGCANAATGCAAACAACTAAATATTTTGTGAGTTCCACAATCATAAGAGGTCTAACAAGAAAACACCGTAAATGACTTGAAGAAGCTGTGTTATATGTCCACCCTCTCCCAGACCATGATTGGCCCTTAGAATGAAGTCTATGATGGGAGAAAACAAAACTGTTCGAATAAATATTAAAGTGGAACAAAATAGGAGATGGACAAATTCAACAATAACCAAAATAAATAGTGCAAAAGTAGACAATATATTTATTTTCTTCGACAAATATGCCTACATCCACTAACAAAACAACAAATGAGTCTCATCAAATCATCAATAATTATTGGCATGACACTAATAAATCATTCAATATAATAATGAAATCCCCCAAAAGCATCATTAATAATATACCCAAGAACAACTATCAACAAAATTCTTGAAATCCTACTCAAAACAAACGAGATAAAGAAAACATCTTGCCAAAATTTGCCATTATTCAGATAGCGATTGCTCAAATATTAAATGTTGGGATCTTGATCAACTGTTTGATTAAAGAAAAATAGTTAATTTCACGATGATAATACCATGGAGCTTAGATATCAATGGTTGTTCGAGAGATTGCACTGGATGCCATGCTTGCACAATTTCTGCACAGTTTATCTCGACATTCTTTGTTATAGTGGCTGATTTTGTATTTTGCACGTCACTCGCACATCTATTCCAGTCTTCTATAATTTATTCACTCTTCTCTATTAGCACCATCACTAGGAGTTTTGTTTATTTTATTATATTTAAAGAGTTCAGTTATTATACATGTTTTTTCACGGAGCACTTGCCTCTTACTGGCAAACAGATTAATTTATTTTTTGTTATTACAATCTGAAAGGTCTGTTCTCATTGAACTATGTATGGCAATAGTTCATTTCTTATATATTACTATGATCTTCACTCTGTCTCGTACAAATGTTATTTGAGGAGCCTGATGACTCCAAAGTTTCAGAAGAATCAGAATTAAAAATTGCAATAAGCTACCCCCTTTTAATTTCTAGAGGCTGAATGTACTGGCTAAATATCCGTACTAATTTTCATTCTTGGCAGTACCGAGGCGGACAAGCTCCATGACAAATCTTGTTTTGACACCTTTATTAGGGTGAAGGCCAGAGGCTTCCAAAGCATCCTGGTCAATTTCAAACTGTTCTGTTTTTGTTGAATGGGAGCGTATGAAAAGGTACGGGTACACAGAGGTCAATACTACCTTGTGTTCAAATTCAGAAGTGCTCAGTGAGCCTTCTATCCTGTCAATTAGAATCTTCTGCAACGTTGGGGGTCTCAGAAGGATCACAACAATCTCCCAAACCAGGAAGACTCTGCTGAAGAATGGTGCCTATGTGTACATGAACTAATAGTGCTATTGTAGATTTAAATTTTCTATAGAAGGTAGTCAAATAGGTCTGCAGTGGAAGTAAAGCGAAGTCCTTTATTTTTCTTTTCTTCATTTTCTTCACCCTGTAAGTGGTCTATGAAAATTGACCCTCTTTTCCAACTATATCAGCAATTTTTGGTCTTACCAGGTAGAATGTGTTGCAGAGTTCGGCAAAGTTGTTCTATAAAGGAGTCCCAGAAAGAATGACACATTTTTATGTCTTGTGTTTCAGGAGAGTTTTCCAAATGCTATACTTCGGTCGTGCGAGAAGTGTGTCCTTCGTCAAGAATAACCAGCCCAAGGTATTCGAGAAGTGTCTTCTTCAGAGTGTCAGACTCCTCATCAAACATGATTAATCTCTCTCTTCTTCCTCCCTTTCCCCTTCACAAGTTCTTCTCCATCCAGCTTTTCACAAAGTGTATAGCTTATTCCAAGAACGCTAAGCCTTTTATCCAATGAATATACCTATACACAATGAACTACATCCTTGTCGTGGCATTTTCTCTTGGAGAGATGTTTGGGAACCAACTTGTTTTCCTTCCATGAAAATGTGAGGCTGCCTAGGTTACGAAATAGGAACTTCCCATATCCTGAACTCTTCTTTCCAAGTGAGGAGCATATTGGCTGGAGCAATACCATAGGTTGGCAGTTTGGAAATAAGTTTCCAAGAAAAAAATAGCCAAATGGGGATTTCCAGTCCCTGGAGCATGAGAAATGATGCATCCCCAACTCTATTTGGATCGGAAGTCCCCAGTTCAGTGAGAACAATACTTCAAGATATTTTTCCACAAAAACTCAAAGCCTTCTTTATGATGTTGTACAGGCCTTCTCTGAGACCAAATTTATTGTTCCAAACTTTTCCTTGAGCTTTACTGCTGTTACATATATAACTGCTCTTCGTCAGAAGATATTTTCTTGGCACAAAGGCTGCTCGCTAGAGAACGGAAGCAATTACATGTTTAACAAAGTAATGATTAACCTGCTGTAAAACCATGAAGCACAAGATGTAAAATATTACTCAATGTACTGAGAATGACTACAAAGAGGCTAAAATTAAAGTGCAAGTTTAGAATATAACCCTAACAAATAAAGAGACTAAATTGTCATAAACACATAAACTAAATAACTATTATATCTAACAATATGAAGACTTCAACGTATCAGAAGTATCAGAATTCACCATTGAATACTGGTGAATGGGAGCGTATGAAAAGGCAAGGGTGCACAGAGATAAGTACTACTTTGTGTTCAAATTGAAAAGTGCTTTTTGAGCCTTCTATCCTGTCAATTAGACTCTTCTGCAATGTTGGGGGTCTCCGAACTAATGGCGCTATTTCAGATTTAAGTTTCTCTATAGATGGATTGTCGAGTGGGCTTGCAAAGGAAGTAAAGCGAAGTGGTCATCTCTGTGAATTGACTCTCTTTTGCAACTATATCAGCAATTTTTGGTCTCACTAGGCACAATGTGTTGCAGAATTTGGCAACAGAGCCGATATGTGACTGGCCGACTGCTTGTACAAGGAAGTCACGAGCTGGTTATACAAGGAAGCTGGGAGCTGCTGCTATTTTATTTAATGTTATTATTGAGTCAGTTAATTAACATTATAAATCATTCAGATTTTATGTAATTTTAGTGGGAGGTACAACGGTTAGAACACGTCTTTTGCTGCATAAGGTTTACTTTTCGTACTTAAACACTATCAAGAACGCTGTTTTATGCTTGGTTAAATTTTGACAAAAAGAGTCTTTGGACCTGTCTTCCAAAAATTCTAAGATCCAATTTCGATATTGGTTTCAAATCATCAAGTCTGTTGAACACACGTTTTTCATTGTGTTTCACTATGTTGTTCTAAACTAAGCCCTTGTTTGGTAAAATCCAACTAAAAACTCAAGTCAAAGTCAATAATTAATTTTAACCACACATTTCATGGACCCACAACTTTTCAACCACATATTTCATCAACTTTTATCAAAATCTATTAAACATCTGATTTTAATGTCTACCAAACACAGGCTAAATAGCAATAGCATCTGCATGTGGCCTATAGCAGCACCATAGGGGGCTGGATGGGGTGGGTTCACGGACATCTCATAGTAGCTTTAAATATTAGAAGAATTGAGGGTTCGTAGTGTCTTTTCCATACTTTTGGATGCCATCTGCAAAAAGCATTGAGAAAAAGCATTTGTTTTCTTGACAGGATCGTATACATATTTTCGTGACTTTAATGGTTCTTTGATGATCAATTTGATTGGTCAATATTTTCGATGTGTTGGGAGCTTGAAAATGAGTGGAGTAGAGAGCATGAATTCGTGTCTGGAACGTCACCTCAAAAAATGTGTAGAGTTACTACTTAAGTGTTTTTTTTGTTGACGTTAAAATTTGAATTTAGTGCTTAGTGATGACTAAACTTCAATATATGTGATTGGTTCACATGATTGTTAAAAAATGGTATTTAAGTTATTGAGAATAAATAGAGGGGAAAAACTGTCATTTGTATTCGTAGTAATTATCGAATCTCAGACGAGATACAATACATATGCGGAAGGTGAAAGTCAAATAATTTTTTTTAGTTTACGTGGTCTTATATATTCCGAAAATGCAATCTTTTGTTTTTAGTGAAAAATCAAAAACTCGTAATTAGATTGAATTATCTAGGATCAACTAGATCATATTGGATGCTCTTAAAACAAATCTTTACTTGAGAAAAATAGAACAACAATTTTTCAGAATAAACAATACATAAAATATATAAATATCTCAATTCATTCAAATGACGGTAGAGCAGGCTGCAGCGATGGTGAGAAGACGTTGGATTGCAAATTTATTTCTAAGTGGACTTCTCAATATTTTCCCATGCCTGCGTTCAGTGCATGAGTTTGCGTCTCGTGCACGTCTCGTGCACACGAAATGCGCACATTCTCTTTGCTTGTAAATATTGGTTGGTTATGGAAAATTGAGATTTTCTTGTTTTTATCCTAAATTCTGAGCTCAAGCCCTAATTACGAACTCGAAGAATCAATCTTTGTCATGGCTACATGCTCCATTTCTCTGTACTAAGTATTGTGATGGGAATGATGTTCCCAACTAAAGATTTCTTGAAGGAAAACTTTTCCTACAAATGTCATTAGATGGTATGTGTACACTACTTTCTTCTGGCCAAGCCTAGATTCACGACTTATAACTTGCTTTTCTGCATATAGGTGTTAAGATTTGAACTTCCATTTTAAAATGTTAACCTTATTAATAAGAGTAATAAGTTCTCCAATTTCATCTTTTTTCGATGTGAGATTTATACCTATTTGTTTTTTTTTGTATCTTTGGGAATCATCTCTCAGATAAAGACAGAGCAAGAGTAAAAAAAAAAAAAGTAGTGATTCAAATCCACTCGAGTACTCTCTATGCAAACTTCCCCCCTTGAGAGAAAATAGATACGAAAGATACCATAGCAGTCTTGAATCAGACCCGGGTCAATATCGGCAAAAGCATCTAAACAAGGTTAAGATAGTGGCTCGTTTGAGCAAATCGATCTTGAAATTCGCATGTTCATTTTTTTAAACTTAATCGGATCAAATTGCTCGTTGGAGTTTAATGGACTCTGATACCATATTAAGATTTAAGATTCCATTTTAAAAGGTTAAATTTATTAAGAGAAATAATCCAAACCCTTATATGTTAGCCTATATTTTCATCTTTATTCGATATGAGATTTATATCTTAACAATAGATTCCATACAAAATCTAGTAGAAATATATTTATGAAACCTCGATTAAGTTTATACCCTCAGAACAGCACTTTGTTGAGGCAAACATTATCTTTACTTTACTATGTGGATAAGAATAACTTAATCCAGGTCTGCCTTTGCTTCTGATCTAGCTTTCCTTGCATCGTGAAAACTTGATTTCCGTCCACCCAAATGAAAATTGCAATCAGTCGGTCTTTTATTAATTCTAGTCGATGAAAGACTTGTATGTGATGAAATTAGTCAAGCAGTTGATCTTCTTAGGGGCAGGAGGATTTGGGGCCTGATAGCGTGCTATCAGAACGAAGGTTTTATCATTGTGTAGACGTAAACATTTTGACGTGCTAATTATGTGCAATTCAAGAATCAGTTCTGAACGGGGCACTATCATAAGAAATTGCACCAGTTTAACATGCCATGAAGAAGCAATAAAAGCAGACATAGTCGATTCTTTTGTCCAACTTGCTTAAAATTAAAGCCTCACAAACTAATAATTCCTAATATGATTGTCTTTTGAACAATTTAAATTAGACAAGCTTAAATGAAGTCGGACATTGTTACAACCACAAAAAAATTCAAATGGCTCAATCACATGGGAGACGCACCAAACCAAAATGTTTCCACATATAGTCACCTACATTAGGTCCCAAGTATCATTACTTATTTATGAAGAAATGATGATGCAATGCCAATCAAACGAGGAAACAAAACTAGAATTAGGACATTTCTAAGTAAAACCTAATTGTGATCAAAGTCGTTAAAATGTCTTTAAAAGGTACCAGAATTCATTTTCTTTGTTCTTAGACGACGACGTGGTGCTAATGCTCCAACCAACCCCATTATCTTTTTCTCCTCGGCGTTCTTACAGCTTGAAGAATTATTGTGTGACTGACCAGTGGTCTTCTTCCCCTTTTGGCAAGCCATGGGAGCAAAGTTTTCACCTAAACCACGGTTTGTGTTAATTTCCACCACATCCCTGGAACTATGAGAATTCCCTTGTGCCACCCGAAAGTAGTTCTTCCTCTCAGATCTTATCACTTCGAAACACTTGATTAGAACTCCCTAGTTGCTGCAGCATCATAGTCCTTCCATAGAAAATTACTGTGCTATATATTGAGAATATTGTTAGATCACTCTCACTAGTCTGAAACTAAAGATTTTAATTTTGTTGTGATAACATGCATTACCAAAATAAATACAGCCAAGTTAACAACATAACAATTATATTTTTCGCAATGTACCTATATCAACTACAAAATAAAAAAAAATATTTTTTTTATAATCAACAACAATGGGTACAACATTCTTCGCTAGATACCACTAGAGGCTCATCAAATCATCAATAGTTCTTGGCATACAACTAATAAATCGTCGAAAAAACATTAATAATTTAACCAAGTACAACTATC